GCTAGGATGCTCCAACAAGATTTTCTCCTCTTCTGTTAGGGGTTGATTTCTAATTTCCTTGTGTTGGGCATAGTCATTAAAGATATTTTAGTATTCACTAGTCTGATTAAATAATTTAACTACTCTTAACAAGCTTTATAGAAATTTTTTAAATTAGAAGAATAATTAACTTAGTACAAAAAAAAAAATTAGATATATGTATGTTATATTTACAAAACTCTAATTTTTATAAGTGTTTCATATCATGTTTTACTATGTTCACTTTTTGGTTGACTAGTAGATCACCAATTAAGTCAATTTGGCTTGTATTATATATAAAAAAAAAGTGCTTATTGTTCAGAGTAAAGCAGAGAACTTATATGTTTAGGTTATTAGTAAATTTTTGCCACTCATATAATTATATATGATCTGCATACTAGAGAGCTTGCTCTGGATTTACAACAGCACTTGTTTTCCTAGTTTTTAAAAAAATATAATAATAATTTATAATGTTTGTAGTTATTTATCAACTTGACTAAGTCAATATTTAAAAATCGGCTTAGCCGGCTAAATCAAAGTTGATTATTCTTAGTTCTACTTGATTAACCTTCGGATATTATCGGAGATTTCCTCAAATTTTTGTCATGTTTTATGTTCGGTGATTTTCTTTTTGGAAATTTTCAGATTCTACTATAAACTGGCCTAAATTTCTTAATATAATCTATATAACCTATCATAGTCGACTAAGTCTATTTTTTGAAAAATCGGCTGACTAAGCTGGCTAAGCCGATTTTATCGACTAATGCAAAATCGACTACAAACACTACATTTGACTTCTCATTGTACTTAGGAAAGGTTGTATAAAAATATCTTTTATTATAAAATCAATACAGTATATCTGTATCATCTATTGCCACTATATGTAACTACAGTATTATTTTTCTCTGTTTGGCAAAAACAATAGAAATGCGAAGTCTGTATTCGGGTAGTTTATTAACATTGGGCCACTGTTTTTTGTTAAGGTGCTAATTTCAATTAAGATTGTCTTTTGACAGATGGTGATTGTTCAATACCTTCATCTTTCTCAATATCTTTACTTTTAATAAACATTGGTTTAGAAATAAAATGTCTTTTAAAGTAACGTAAGTTATAAAAAAGATGTTAAAACTGCACTCACGCTTTCCGTTTTCCAGTAGCTCTTGCCTTAGGTCCCCAATACTTTTCAGGATTTTGTTGATATCTAACCAACTTTACTTTACGTGAGGCCGGTTCAGCATTTGGATGTATAGTAAAATCTGCTACAAAGCTGTTTACTAAATATTAAACATTTAATACATCACATTAAAATGGCAATATCAAAAAATTACATCCTACAACCTTTGTTCAACGGCCAATATCTTTCTAGCCGGAGAATTCTCCTTAATATTTTTCATAGTAACCGGATGAAGTCGTATCTAAAAGATAAATTTATTTATTTATGATATTCGATTTAATCCTTTTTGACATCAATTTCGTACAAAAGAACATTTAATTTCGTACAAAATAACATTCAAATTCGTACAAAGTGACATTCGATTTTGTACAAAATGATATTTAAATTCGTACAAAGTGACATTAAAATCTGTACAAAATGACAATTAAATAAGTTTGATTAAA